TCGTTATTGATTTTTATTTTCTTCATTCTTATGGACACCAGCTAAATCTGTCATCATTTTTAGTTAGCTTCATGAAATTTATTTCCAAGCTGCATAAGTATGATTTCCGTTTACCTTTAATTATGAATTCCGCCATTAAATAATGTTTTCATATAGTAAAATGTTGCACCGTAGAGTAGGACAGCAAGTCAGTCACTTCAAAAATGCCCTTCGGTGTTCTAAGCACAATCATGGTGATTTTCGAGCATCATGTGGTATTGATGCTTTAGCTGAGGTTTACTTTTATGGAGTCTATCCATATGAGCCTGATAACAGAGAAACTGGCGGGAATACGCTCATTGAAAAGTTATTGCAGCTGTGCGAGTTGCGTGAACAATATGGCCCAATTTGTGAAATACGTGAAGATTTGTGGAACTGGATGTGTAAGAATGTTCCCACGTAGGCCTATGAGCCAAAGGGCACTTCAAATGCTGAAATTCTTGAGGCGTTCAATAGATTGGGCGATGATAACAACAAGTTTATTGCAACATATGAAGGCGATGCATTGTGCTCCTCATGTCATGAGCATTATCCTTTGGCAGAGACTTTGGACCCAGTCGTCTTCTATGACAATTCAGTCAATGAAAGAAATGTTGGTAACATGGCAACTGGAGTGGAAAGTTGTTTTCACAGAGCTGTGAGAAATAGGGTAAAAAGGACAAAATGTGGAAAGTGTTCCAACCCCTTGATTTCTCAGAGCACAGTCCCTTCCTTGATCAGCATGCTAGGCACATGCAAGTTCCTCCTATGGTTGTTAGTGAGGATTTGGAAGTTTTTCAGAAAAGGTATCAGTTGACGGGGGCCATACAAATGCAAAAAGGGCACTTTTATTCTGTTGTTCAAGTAAATGGACAATTTGCTGTTATTGACGACTTGCGACCTACTGTGACATGCTACCGTTCATTTGCCTGTGCAATCACGAGAAAGAAAAGTGCAGGAGGGAAGCCTTCTAAGAAATTGACATTGGACCATGATGGAGTGCACTTTTTGATCTACAGCGAAAGGGCAGCTGCCCAGACGGTGACAGTAGGCCCCTGTATTGATCTTTCTAAGAATGATTCATTCACAGCCAAAAGTGATCCAGTCACAGCCAAAAGGGATCCAGGCACAGCCAAAAGGGATCCAGGCACAGCCAAAAGTGATCCAGTCAAAGCCAAAAGCGATCTAGGCACAGCCAAAAGGGATCCAGGCACAGCCAAAAGTGATCCAGTCACAGCCAAAAGCGATCCAGTCACAGGCAAAAGTGATCCAGGCACAGCCAAAAGCGATCCAGTCACAGGCAAAAGTGATCCAGTCACAACCAAAAGTGATCCAGTCACAGGCAAAATGGATCCAGGCACAGCCAAAAGCGATCCAGTCACAACCAAAAGTGATCCAGTCACAACCAAAAGTGATCCAGTCACAGGCAAAAGGGATCCAGGCACAGCCAAAAGTGATCCAGTCACAGCCAAAGTGATCCAGTTCTGTCCTTTCATTCTGATGGCAAACAGGAAAGGTCTACGCCACAACACGAATGTTGGATGACACCGAACAAGCGACAAAAATTCACAACAAATACTACCATCCATCAGCCTCTCCAAGAAATAGACGCAAATGTTGACGCACCAAAGAACGCTGAAAAGTCTACCCTGCCATCCACCGACAGTTACAAATTAAACAGATCGAGTCCTTCAATCGTGAAGCTATCTCGAGATGAGGTCATTGACCTAAACTTTGTGAAATTTTGTGGCCAAGATATTTCATACACAAAAATAAATGGTCAGATGTACTTCTCCACAGATATTTTGAACCTTAGTGGCATTTCTACCCGAGCTGGATACAAAAGGATTGATGATGTGTTGCTTAAAAACAAGAGGAGCAAAGGTCCACCTGCTTGTATTGTGACTTCTCACCAAGCTCACAAATGGTTATCAAAATCTGCGTTGATTATTCTTCTCCAGCAGTATCCGATTTCTTACAAGAAACATAGAGCAGTAGCTGTCTTAGATGTTGTCAGAAAAGTGCGTTTTGAAAAAGAAGTTTCAAAACAGAAGAAGAAACCTGTTGAGAGACCTGATGGTGAAAGTCATACAAATGACCTCGGCACTTCAGTTTTAATCTGTGATGTGCCAGTACATGTTCTATCCAAAAGGGGAAGAGGTATTTGTGGATTTCAGGAAAGTTGCAGAGATTGTTGGTCTGAGTGGCCACATCAAAAAAAATGGATGGAAATTCATTGATGCAGTCTTGCGCAGTAAATATGATCAGAATATTTCTTCTTGTTTTCTAGCCAGTACATCAAATAAACGATCAAAGAGATGGTTCAAATCTTATGGTGCATTGCATGTCTTACTGACACGCTTTAAATCTGGAGATCATGGCCAGAAACCGAGGGTTTGTGAAGAAATATCAAAACACATCGAGAGTCTGGCTGCAAAGACATTACTCATCATAAAGAATGACGAAGCTGCATCTTCTACCCCACCATCCTTCAGTTCTGACAGCCACTCCTCTCCCTCATGTCAGTCTAACTCTCACAGTGCATCTTCTTTTTCAGCAGAGAAAAAGAGTAAGTTATCATCGGAGGAGATAATTTACCTTACAGAAAATTTCAGTGGAAGTAGACTGATAAATGAGCTTCGGAAAAAGTTGCCGGATATATTGCCTTCTATTCGGGTGGAAAAAGATAGGAAAAAACAGTATGAATCATGTTCTCGCTGTGTGCTTCTTCCACAGCGTACCGATACAGGATGGCACATAGATGCAAAAAGACTTGTAGACATTTTAACCTTTAGATACCCTTTTCTGTCAGCTCCCCTTCATATCAAATTATGGGGCGATGGACGTGAAATAGGAGGTCGTCACAGTACAGTAAAAAGGTTTATCTATTCTTAATAATGAAATGCATTTGAGAAACACTTCCTTTCAAAGTCCACATCACACATACCCATTTGCAATTTTTTATGAAGAAGACTCGCGTGACAATTTAGAAATGAATTTGATCAATGAAAATAAAAATATTCTGGATGATTTGTGCTCGTTGAAGACACATAAATTCTACCTTTCGGGCAATGAAATGGTTTTAATAAAGATTCTTGATGGATCTGGTGAACTGAGCCCTACATCAGAAGATGGATGGAATCTGTACCACAAAGCCAAAAAGGTTGAAAAAAGTCATGTAGGTGAAACTGGCAATAGAAAACGATATCCCAGTTCTCATCGACAGGAACTACCCGGATTCCTTGGCACCCTCTTTACCTTTGAAGAATGTTGTTTTTGATATCTTGCATGGATTTACAAGAATTGTAGAGAAATTACTTAGATTAGAAATAGAAAAGTTGTTGTCTTTGGGCAACAAAAATGAACAGGGACAAGGCCTTAACACTAGTAAAGCATACATTCCAACATTTGAAAATCAAAATCTGTACAAATTATGCTATTTTCAAAAAAAAGAGGAACAATCCTAACTCTCCTGTTCAATACTACAGACAAATTTGTACAGGAAGAGGAACACCTGCATTAAAATGATAATTATCTTCTCCCAAAAAGAGGAATGTTCCTCTTTAATCTGAACAGTTGGCATGTATGGTAAAGAGCTGTTGTCTAACCTTGTAAATAATATAAACAAAAGAGGGATCAGGCAAGGGAATTTTCCTTCATATCAATTTTGACAAAGGAGGCAAGCTTGAGCCTATAACACTTAACAAAGATCATGCACTCGGAAATATTAGTCCTCCTCCACACGGGAGAGAGGGTGATTTCCCTCACGTCTTATCAAATGTTGTACACAATTTACCTTTGCCTGTTTCATCTCTTCAATCGATATCTATTAAGGTATTTTAATCATGTACCTATATCGGAATTTGACATTGTATGCAAGATTTGGGAAAGTTTACATAAAATGTATGTCATTCTGAGATCAGAGCCAAAGCCTGTTCTGAAGGACGGGAAATTAGAAGGCTCAATTTTAACAGACGATTATACATGGGGATACAGTAATGATACGAAACGAAGATATCGAGATCATGCCGAGTGTTTTTATAAGTTGATGTGCCATAGATATTCATGGGAGAACTTGACTCCATACATGATAAAATGTATTGATTATGCTATTTTCTTTATGGAACATCTTGAACTCACCCTTTCAAGGTTCCAAACCGAGGGTGGAGAACACTTGAATTATTGTCATTCATCTTTTTTCTTCCAACATACTACCGTCATGGATGGCGATTAAAGATAGATCCTCAGTACTCTTTCCTAGCAACAATGTTTCGTAAGCTGTGTTTTGAAATCTGTAATTTAGAATCAGCCAATGACTTTAAAGATAAACTTGAGTTCTGGTAATGCGATTGCATTGTGAAAGAAAAGGTGTGGAATGGATGAGAAAAGTTAAGTAATGGTGTGTAATGCAAGGTTCTGGAGTCATCAAAATCATCATAAATTTGGCAGAGTCTTGGTAAAGTAACAATCACTTACACAAAAAGATGTATATGGGACAACACATATGGTGTCGGGGCTAGTACTACCCTGGGGTTACCCCTCCCCCCCCCCCCCCTTTTGGCTCATTAAAAATATTTAAAACAGATATGGAGGGAAAAGAAAGAGAGAGAGAGAGAGAGAGAAAGAAAGAGATACCCGGAATTCACGCTGAACAAATTAAAATGCAAAAAATAAAGAATAGGGGAGACTGGGGCTACTGGACCACTGGGGCAACTGGACCGCTATTAAGCTATCTCAATATTTTACTTGCATGCTGCCCTCTAACAGTTAAGATTGCTCAGTTTCAACTTCGACGATCTCTGAACCCACCACAAAAATTGTTTACCATCAATGCTAGGTGTATTTTACCAATAAAAATCACAGGTTTTGTGGGCATATACTGCGGTGTAGAAGACAAAAGATTTCCCCTACTTAGCGGAGATTACCAGGGGTAAGTTTGAACACATATTTTTGTAGATTGTAGTAGTATATGTGATGTAAAAATGATCAGTATGATGCTGTATACGTACACTAACAGGGCTATGTGTGTTACGCTTTGTCAATGCCACACAGTGCTACATGGCAACAAGTACACTAGGCTACATTAGGTTATAAACTGCAAAGCCAAAAGGGATTTAAAAATGGCGTCGTGTTGGCATTTAATGACAACAACAATTCCTATTAATATGCTTTATTATGTAAAACCAAGCCTGTATAAAATTAAAATGAGTAGAATGTGTTATTTATTATAATAATACATTTATTAAATTGCAATATGTAATTTAAGAGAGGAAATTTAGTAGGAAAATAAGCCAAATTTGTTGTTCAATGATAGATTGATTTAAACATGGCCGACACTAGTGCTCAGATGCAGCTACAAAATTAAGACATGATTATGAAATAATTTGATAACAAATCCATATTGAGCAAGTATGTGTATTTATAATATATATACTTGTAACAAATATTGTTATTGTTAATAGAAAATAATTTACAAATTTGGGAAACAATTAAAATGGTGGTTTTAAAATATTTGGTATTTACTGGGGGCATGTTTCTGGGGCTAGTGGACCGGGTGGTCCAGTAGCCCCAGAAATTGTTATTAATTAATTAATGTCATTAATTTGGCTGAAATATCACTGAAATGTATCCAATATTATCATACTAAGTTTGACCTATTAAATATGTGTCAGTTTATATAATATTCATGGTTTTTGTTCTTTTTAATTCCTTTCCCCAGGAAATGGTGCAAAGTATGTGGCTACTAAGCGTGGACCACAGAACAAATGGAGCGCTGATTCAATGCAGCAAGCCATAGCAGCTCTGAAAAGTGGGGAGGTAACCAGCTTTCGAGAAGCACAAACAAGATTCAATGTGCCCAGGAACACCCTTATAAGGCGTTACAGAGGACAGGTCGATGAAAAGGCACCAGCACACAAACCAACTGTGCTGACCGAAGATGAAGAAGGCAGAATTGCGGAATGGCTCGTTGAATGCGAGGAAAAACTGTTCGGCATCACACCAACACAGGTGTGTGAGGTTGCTTACAATATCGCGGAAAAGTCAGGGAGGCCTCATCCCTTCAACAAGACGACGAAAAAAGCTGGCTATGACTGGTTGAAAACGTTTCAGGGAAGATATAGCCATCTTTCCATAAGGAAGCCTGAGGCACTGTCTGCAGCTCGAGCCAGAGCCATGAACGAGATTGTTGTAGGGAGATATTTTGATTTACTTGATCAAACAATGGACCGACTAGACTTAAAAAACAAACCAGCACAAATATATAATTGTGATGAGACTGGTCTTTCCTCAGTCCATAAGCCGCCGAGAATCATGGCCACCAAGGGAAAGAAGCAAGTCCATTCGAAGACAAGTGGAGAGCGCGGGTTTAACACCACTGTCATGGCCTGCCCGAATGCTGTGGGGAACTATATCCCTCCATTTGTTATCTTCAAAGGATCGCGGTTGTCTCCAGCACTGACGTGCAATGCTCCACCAGGGACACTGTTTGCTACATCGGATACATCATACATGAACATGGACCTGTTTTATAACTGGATCCAGTTTTTCGTGAAGCACATACCACCTGCCCGTCCAGTATTACTCATAGTTGATGGTCATGGGTCCCATATATCCATTGGGACTTTAGAATATGCAAAGGAAAACCAGGTTGAACTACTTTGTTTGCCACCCCATACAACCCATTGGCTGCAACCTCTGGATCGCACAGTGTATGGCCCTTTAAAGGTCAATTATGACAAGGCATGTGCCCAGTATATGCGAGAGAATCCAGGGCAGATTGTTACAAGATACAAATTTTCCGGCTTATTTAGACAAGCGTATGGAAAAGCCGCTACAATCGCCAATGCTATCAGTGGTTTCCGGTCAACAGGCATATACCCGTTTAACCCTACTGCAGTACCACAGAAGTCATTTGCTCCATCAAAAGCATGGGCCCCCGCTCCCGCCCTCGCTGTAGAAGAGAACATTCCATCTACTCAAAATGAACCAGGGCAAAGCGTGTCCTCGCTAAACGTGCCGGTTGCTGATCCAAAGCCTATATCGGCTCCATTGAGGGGCACATCACCAGTACCCACTAACCCAACACAGAGCACACACAGTGATCTTGAAGATCAACATCAACAACCTGCCAGAGCCCCACAACCACCATCAGTACACATGCCTTCAACCTCATCCACCCATCGTGCACTAGCTACTCAAGAACCAGGTAATGATTGGCTTGCAGATTTACTACAGGTACCAACAGCTATTGTAACCAGAGGCAATAGAAAAAGGCAGACCACGACTTAACTTCTGACGAAGTCATTGCTGAAGTGCGAGAAAAGCAGAGAAAGAAAAAACAAGATGCTGACGATAAACAGAGAAGAAAAGAAGAAAGACAAAAGAAGGCAGCAGAAAAGATGACGGCAGCAGAAGAAAGGAAGGCAGCAGCAGAAGCCAAGAGACAGAAGGTAGGCCTACAGCAACAACCAAAGAAAAGGATAGCGAAGAAAGCCCCTGTGATATCTACCAGTGCTACACCTGACACACAAGATGATGACGAAGATGCTACACCTGACACACAAGATGATGACGATACAACGTGTGAGGAATGCAATATGGTATGGTTGGAAGATGACGACGAACCTTGGGTTTCGTGTCGAAGCTGCAGCAGATGGTATCACGAAGAGTGTACCAGATGGCGAGGCAATATGAACAAATTTATTTGCAGTTCATGTATGGACAAGTACCATTATGATTCAGAAAGTGATTCTGACTAAATCTACAAATGGTTTAAATAAACATTTATCTTGATATGGAAACTTTAATTTAAACTTTGCTGACTGTTAAACATTAATTTTGTGGATCAATACAAAATGCTTGTCAAAATAAACTAAAATTCAAATATAAATAATAATAATAATAATTGCTGATGTTTACCAAAGTACCAGCACACTCCAACATTTATTACGCTGCCAAGGATAAATCACACATCACTTCTGCTTAACAAATGAAAATTGTAAATCCAGTGTCCACATGATTTATTTGGCATGCAATTTCAAAACAATTGATTTTGTATTCATCCTCTAGTGTTTTATATGGTGCATGTACAATGTATAACATTCAGTATGAGATTTGATATTGAAATCACTGAAAAGTAATAATGAAAACCCATTTCAGCTAATTTTAGATGGAACATGCCTTATGGTTTGTTATAAGTGTTATGAATATTATCAGTGTTTAAGTTAACCATCACGAGATGGTTAAAATTAATATTATTTTAAATGTTTAACTACTTTTTTATTCATAGAAACCAGAAGTTTTAATGCATAAAAAAATCAATGCTGAAATTCATTTTTTCCTCCCTCAAAATTAATAAAAATATCCATGGTCGATAGTATCAGGAGATCTGGTTACTCCAGTCAAACATTTCTGTGGCCTTAGCGTCTGTTTTATTAATCATTTATGTATTCCATTACATAATAAATATTTTAAATTGAGAATTTGTTCCAGTTTTCAACCATGTTTGTAAAATAAAATCATGTTCTTTAAGTGGTCCAGTTGCCCCGATGTTGGGGCAACTGGACCACTTTGAGTATTGATTTTAATTAATCAATATTATAATTAATATGCAAATAATGCATCATCATTGTCTTAGTAATAGATGCACAGGTGGCTGGACATTAACAAAACACCACTTTAAATGTCTTACAGTACTATTCGTGGAGGAAAGGTGACGATAAGTCCTTAAGTGGTCCAGTAGCCCCAAGTCTAGGAGTAGGGTATCCGCTGCCCTTATATCATAATCGCAGTTGTTGATGTTTAACGCCTTTATCGAACTTGGTTTCGGTTGCAAATGTTTTTCTACGGACCCCCCAGGGATTAGGAAGGTATTAGGTGCTAGGCAGAGTGTGAATTTGATGAGCAAATTTTCTAATGGAGTGTTCTCCTAATGGGCAGAAAATTAGTCTCTGAGTACTTTCAAATGACATTTTGAATTGAAAATTCATATTAAAATCTGGGAGAAAATCAATCACTGATAAGTGAGATAATCTCAATTAAACAAAGACAAAATGACGTCATCAAAAAATACATTCAGGGTGGTATGAAATCATATCTCCAACTCATGCTCTTTCCAACCATGATATAAAACTTTGGGGCCGATGGACTATCTATAGAGCTATTTTGATTTTTAAAATGGTATGTTTTTGATCAAATTTGCATTATATTGCCCATAGCAGCATGCTATGACGCACGCTCTTTGACGCATGCTCACGGCCTTATGAAAGGTCAGGAGTGACTGAAATGAATGGAAATTGTCAATTACGGTAAGAGGAATCCAAATCATGTAAAAATTTGAATTTTTACCTTTTTCGCGCGCTCTGAGAGCGCACAACTTACGTACTGATACGTACGAACAGAAAATGTTGAAATGCTCTAAATGACCGGATTCGTACTCAAAATTGTTCAGGAGTGATTTTCATCATTTTTTTATTTTGACGCGCGCGCATGTGCGTCACACTAAAAAGAGGAGGTGCACGATTCCTGATGATGCCAAAGATACTGTAAATATCTAAAGATGATACTGATACAATTTGTTCAGATAATTGATGGCAAAATTCGGTTGGAGAAAGAAATTACTAAATAATAAATAAGATTCGTACAAACACAATAGGTGATATGCTACTATGTAGCATATCACCTAAAAAGGTGAAACCTATAAAAAGAAAAAAAGATGCGAAGATGTGGAGGAAAGCCAAAAAGTGCAGGCACTCAAAGAGCAAAAGTGGCTTGAGCTTGTACTAGCTCAGCCTCAGTCTCAGATACTTAACCAGCTATTGCAGCTTACTATCAGCAACAAAGACAGTGTTATGAAGACAAGTGGGCATGTTTGTAAAACAGTTAAAGATCTCCGATGATGTCACATTATTGAATTAATTGCAAAAGGTCCTGTTTCTAAATAATTTCTATGATTTGTTATTTTTAAATTACATATCCAGGAAAGCTGATTTGTTTTCTTCTAATCATCCATAATAGTGCCAAGAGTAAGTTTAATAAAACATGTTACCATTAGGGATTTTAGATTTATCAAGAAAAATATATTCAAATATTGCTAAAATTGTTAATGAAAAATGGGCATGGTCTTATATAATTTTCATTCATATTTTTTTCCTGAGAAAGACTATAGATGTTTTTTTTTTGATACATTTACATCATTTAAAAACAGAAAACAGAGATCAACACTAGATATTTAAAAATCATGCCTTGAACACATATGGGGGTATTGCAAATAATTTGAGAAAAAAAACATGATGTTCATGATTTTCCAAAAACATTAATGGGTAAAACAAAATATCTACCATGAAGAAGAAAAACAAATCAGGAGGTGTTTTAGTCTCAGTTTAAAATAAGGTCACTATAAAGTGACCCCTGAATGTCAAAATGGCAGATATTTCACTATTAGAAGTCTTGGATATGCTTGGGATAGCTGATGGTGCATCAGCTAACGTTGATGACGAGGAGGCTGCTTCCAGCTCTGCCGATGGTGGTAGGTGAACATGTTTGCTGCTGTTATGTTATGGATAAGATATCAGAAATAACAGTGACTTGATCTCTTATTTTCCCACACAACATTCTGCGAGCACATTTACCTCCAAATTGGTTTGCCCTTTCATTTCCTTTTAATTCTCTATGTCTCTCTAAATGGTGTTGTCACTGCGGTTGCTTGATTCACCAAAATCATTTATTTAAAAAAAAAACATGTTAATCATTTTTAACAGCTCTCCTTCACAATGCTTGCAAGTTTAATATATCTAGGCTTTTGATAAAAGCCCAACAGATTATCAGGTATGCCATTACATCACATCAAAGTGTTATCTCCTATTTTCTAACATGACAACGGTACATGTTAAACGGTACTTGAAAAACCTCATCCTTCTGTAGAGCTGAATCGACTTCAACTGATGAATGCACTGTAATCAAATCCCGTCAGCTTTAGAACTCTGTTCATCAACAATCCTTACCTTTCTAGACCTTCACATTCAACCAAAGCTAAACTTAAGGTAGAGCTCTGCTAATGATCAAATCATGAAAATGTTTGTACAGGATTGTTTAGTTCCTGAATGGTCCAATCGCTTTAGCAGTGATCAGCAAATGAGTTGAGTTTCAAAGGCACTTGTTGGTCGGACTGCTCCAGGACTGTTTCTTTGTGACCTGGAAAAAATGAACATAGGGATGTTAAGAATTAGCCTTGACCATGTATAATGACTAACAGTAAAATTCTCAAGGAGTTCACCATTGCATGTTACAATTGACAAACAAATTTTGTTCAAAAGGATTTCCACTGAATTTAATGAAACTATGTAACACTCATAAAAGACCACACACCCCCTCCTTCCCCAAACAAACAGAATTTGAGTAACTTGGGGATACACGCATACCTGCTAACATTTGAAAATAAGAATTAGGAATTTTTAGGACCGTATGCCTTTGAAAATTAGAAATCGCACTTGCAGCAGCAGTGTAACTGGCATTACGCGGTAAATCTGTACCGAAAAGCGAATACAGATTCGCTGCTCGATTATGCAGCCATTCAACGCACGCAATACGTAAACTCTCAAATCGCGGCACATGATAAAACAACTTTAATTTGGCTTTGGCAGTTAATTTCAAAAAATTGTAATATTAAGAATTTTCAGGAACTTAAAATCCAGAAAATCAGAATATTACGGATTATTTGTAAGGGTAGGCAGGTAAGTACAAGGTGTGAGTTGTTAGTGTCTATGCAACTATTCTTATTTTATACTTTGAAGTCTCTATCCATCTTATTTTAATTCAAATAGTCTACAGGATTTTGTTGAACAGTAACTCTTACCGATCCAGAGCTTCAAACCACAGACACATCTTGTCTCGAAGCACCTGCCGCTGATCAAATTGTGTTAATGGTCACTGTGATGTCCAGGTCCTGAAAGCTCTCTGAGATGTGTTGCTTGACCTGGTCCCACCTCAGGCCATCTAACCCACAACCGATACGAGGCATGGAAAGTGTCTTGACCCCATTCCTCTTGCAGTGATTGGCCATCGACTGAAGAGAGTCCTGGAGGCATTTGTAAGTTGGCTTGTTCCAGTACTTCTCCTTTGTGACCTAGAAAGGCATATTACAGAACAGAATGTTTGCATGAAAAAAATAGAGGAATGAATAATAATAAATAATGTTTTGCTTTTATATACTCAATACAAATGTCTCTAAGCGCTTTACAAATATACTATTACCCCGGCCATTGTGCATCAGCTTTGCGCTTAATACAATAACTCTAAGCGCTTTACAAATATACTATTACCCCGGCCATTGGATTCAGTGCTTGCCCGCACACACTGTGTGCACAATCTTCACTCCCTGGGGAGCATTCCAGCCAGGCGTTACAAGACGCTCAAACACTGTTTGACCAACAATGACGGTTGCATCCTATCGGGTACCCATTTAACACCTGGGTGGAGAGTAGCAAGTGCAGGTTAATACCTTGCCAAAGGATATTAGTGCTGTGTGGGGATTCGAAACCTCTGAAAGCAGTAACCTATTTCAAAATCATTCATCATGTACATGTAGATCATGTACAAGAAATTCCAATCTGCTTAATTCAAAGTAGTGCAAGTCAAATTTTCCCTCAGTCTAATAAATTTTGCATTAGATGAACAAGGCCTAAGTCAAATGACATTTTGCTGTCCCAACATATTTTACCATGCAGTTAACTGTTATATTCTCATTTGTTCTAGAGACACAACAGACAAAAATGTCTGTACTGGGAATGAGTGTATGGAACATTAATGTTCAATTCCTGTTCATTTATTTTGGTTGGGGACATTACGGCCCAAATGGCATTACTTATTTCAAAGGAGATCTCTTCAGAATTTCAGGCAAAAAGTCGCTCACAGCCCCCATCCATTATTTTCCCCCACTGCATATTGCATATATATCTGTACACCTCGGTTCACTTTATATTTCGCTCTACTCACCATGTAATAAATAAATCTGGGTCCTCTCTTCAGCACTGCTACTCCTCCCGGCTTTACTCCTGGTAAACAAATCAGGATCATAAGACATAGATGTATGATACAAGAGCTATACTGTATAAGCTGTTATTTTCGTGATTTAACAACACGCAAAAATATTGGCACCTCATCACATGGGAATGCAAAAATATAAAAGTATAAAATTATGTGCTAGCGTCCTCTCGATCACTAGCTTCTGTACTATACTAGTACTAGTAACTGCCTTATGTTCATAATGTCGCCTCCAGCCCCGCAGGTTCCTTCTCTCCTCGCGCGTATATTGCACAGATTGCATGATGCAGGCACGTAATACTCGTACGAATCGGTACACCACTCGGCTGTATGTGGTGCGATGGGCTGCCTGAACTTGTATGTGTACATACGTGAACGAGTCATTAACTCTGCTGTGTGCTATTCGCGAAAGCAACATCTCACAAAAATGTCTCTTAGTCTGTCATACGCAAGAATATCAGCTTATACAGTATTATGGTCTAGTGGATACATGTAGGACACTGCACTTCAGCCAATATGAGAATGTGAAACGTTAGCTTTAAAAGACTGAAGTGCAGTAGATTCAGAGAAGCCTACATCACCGTAACAAGAAAGAACAGTTGAGCTATCGGTAATAATACGGTCTAAGTTTGTGGTGGACAATGATGATGTGATATTTATTAATTAAGTATGTTTACACTTAGCACACAATAACCATGTAATACCACATAAAACCTTTTTGCAAAGAAAAAACCCACAATCTACAGCATGATAAACAATTAATTTTTTTAAAGCAAGCAAGTTGCCCTACCACTGCAAGAACAAAGATTAGTTTAAAAAGTGTTCTTCTAGATACATCATACCAGCCTCTATTATGATGAACATATAACCAAGATGTTACCTTGTGCTTGGAGATCTTTAACTCCTCCAAACTTCTCCTTGAAGATTTTCGCTATGCCCTTGCCCATCCTCACGTCTGCACTGATGCAATGGGCCAAGCTCTCACTCTGGGAAGCAGCGAAAAGGTCCCCCTTCACCTCTTTCAGATTAAACGATGTAGTTTTCAGTCTCTGCAAATATCACAAACCATCATGAATATTTGTCCTTTATAATATTGTCCACCATGACTCTTATAAGACCTATGAAATATTGTGTTTAAATCAACTGTCCGATACACAACCTGTCTGGACATACAGCGTCTGGGTATCAGGTCTTGTGCAAACATGACTGAAGTTGCCCTCTGTTTAATTTTGTCATATTTTGTTTTACTTGCACCTGTAAATCATTGGCACATGCTATTGACACACACTATGTTATGAAGTTATGTAAGAATCTTCAAGGTTGAAGGAATCAAATTATATCCAGGAAGGGGAGCAAAAGATGAAGACAAAGACGGGGAAGAAGGAGAAGAAAAAAAAAAAAAGAAGATGAGGAAGAAGAGGGACAAAATATGAAATAAATCCATTTGTCCACACTTTATATTGCTATGACTTTCCATTTCACTTCATACACACCTTGCTGGCTGTAGGCTGATCCAACTCCTCCTCATCTTCTTCTGCATCCTGATCTTTGACCTCTGGGTCATCTTTGGTGACCTTTGACCTCTTTGATAAAGAGCTCCCATTTTTCTTGATCAGATACTTGTCCATCCTTGGATGTTACCATAGAAACTGTCAGAACCTAAACAGTTGGAAGCAAAATATTGAGAAATATCTGAGAAATGAATGGCAACTGGATGACACACCTTCCTCTGCTTAAATTATTTCATGATCAGCAAATTTATCATAATTTCTGTTTTGTTTAATTCCTCGGTATAAAGAAAATAAATTGCAACATACAAAATTTTAATGCTAAATATTACAGTTGTAGTATCAACAATAATAACGCTTGTGATATTTGTTTGTCTCGCAATGTTGGCCTATGGTCAACAACGGATCTATCTTTTAAATCCTTTATTGACCATACATTGCGAGAAAAACAAATATCACTAGCAATATTATTTTAGATACAAAATACAAATACAAACTTGTTAAATTAATATTTTAATTGTAACCATATCGGACAAATTTTACAATATAAATATTGAAATAAATATATATTATAGTATGGTATTTATTTATTCAGGAAAAATAGGGATTTTATATTTTTCCTATTGAAAATAAAAACTTATAAAAAACAGTTCTTGGTGAGCCTGAAAGTCTCTATTCAAGATGGCACCTTTTATGACTCTAACATTAGACAACAACCGTCTCGGGAAATCTTTTAAAAATATCATTTATTGACAAATTGAAAACATGATTCTTTTAAAATTGAAAATAAAACATGATTCAAGACGGAAATACGAATGTAAGTAGTATTTTTCTTCACAAATAATTACGTTTAGAGCAGTTTTTTAATGTGAAATTTGTGCTGGTCGGAAGCAGTGTGCAGAAGTCCTCCGTGCCGGTCGGGCCCGGCAGGGCGGCGGCCTGCCCAGTCCCGACCGCCGTCGCTATAACGCTGCTTGCTATTAAATTACCGAACCCCGAACCGAACCAAGTTCGGGTGAAAAATCGCCGAACTCTGCCGAACCGAACCGAACACAAACATAGCGTCTGACTTACAGCACTACCTCTCACCAATATCTCTAAAACACCAATCATCCAAAACCACTGCCAAACTTGAATCAATCCTCTATCCTAAGTCTCCAACATAAAAGTAGCAGAGCCCAAATTCAATACAACCGACTCAGATCATGTCCAGTGCAAGAAAGGTCTGTCTGTCTTTTACTGTAGGCTGCTATGCAGCATCATACTGAACATTTTTAAGCAAAGTACAAATGAAATACATCATCAACCAGTAGCAAAATGGGATTTGAGAGTAAGTCTGAATATTCATAAGGAAAATGAGAAGAAGACCAATGATAAGTAAGAAGTGGAAATACCTAAGATCCATGAATAAAGGAGAACAAAGGAACATACCACCAGGTGAGATGGAAGACTTGGTATGTAGAGGAGATGAATGGAGGAAGGCATTGGGTTGAGTAATTGAGTAAATGAATATGTAAGTAATATGCAAATTATGTGAAATGAATATGTATAGAGAGAAGGGACTAGAGAAACAAATATTAACTGTATCAAATACAAGTATGGAATGAGTCTAATTTTAAAAATTACACTATTTGATACTTTATCTTTTTTTTTTGTGCTATTATTTCCCAAGATTTCCATTATGCTAAATATGGCTGGCCGAGGTATATTTATTCACAGATATAGTGCTATTTGAGTAGACTGATGGAATGTATGACGAAACGTCAATAGCATCTATACTTTATATAGCTAATTCAAGCTGAACACATGTACATTTTTCACCGTTTCTGAATTTTGAAACTTGCTTAAAGCCTGTCAGTACTAGGGGGATTAGTCCTCCCTGGAAGTCACCGACAGGTGGTTATCTCGTCAAATTAGCTCTCAATTAACACAAGAAAAAGAGGATCATGGGGGCCCAACAGGTACCAATTACGCATTGTTTGCTATATAGAGGGCGCGACAAGCTTTAAAAAGTGCAAGTGGACTAAAATATTACAAATCATTTGTTTTTTCTAAATAAAAAACAGGAGGCGGGCAGGGACGAGAAATTCATTATTTTTGTTATTTGGCCTTAGTCAAAACCTTAGAAATTGAAGTCTAGTAACTAAGACATTGTTAAATTATTATTAGTTCTGTTACTGTTAGAAAACTTAGAATACAACCCAGCAGAAAATACCCCAAATTTATTTTTTCAGCAATTTTATTTGGCAAATGGGGAGATTCTATTATTGAAAGAAGAAGCAGGGGGGAATTATCATCACTCTGCAAAACTGGCACTAGTTCAGAGTCATACAGTTTGTATCTAACTCCAGGGAGCTCCGACACCACTGCCGAATTGTCAGACTTTAGCTCCAGAGCTCGTTTATGAAAACGACAGCGGGTCGGGTCACATTTTTTTCGCAATGTAAAGAGGTAGTAGACTAATTACAATTTTGACTTACATGTTTGATGTTTTTGGACTCCTCTGGGCATCTTTCCAACCACTCGAAATTATAATTTGAAGAAGTCTTTGATAAGAAAAAGGGTGATTCTTTGTCCTAACCCGAAGATTCATCCATGTTGTATCGGATTTGTTGTAGTCTATCATAGTTACTGACGGCACGGTGCAGTGCGGTAAGCAAGCGTGTGTGAAGTTAGCAACTGTAATGATGAATTGCTAAGATTACAGTCGCTAACTTAATACACACCTGCGCGCCAGCACCCCACCGTCAGTACGGTAAGAATCTTAACGACTTTCAAATCATGACCGTTAATTATTTGAACAATTGATGAAGATTTAGTTGATTTTCACTTTTTCAGTATGTTTTAGAAGGGTATCTCCGCGCCACAGTTACAGGTCAAGGTTTGGATACACTTCTGAACTAGCGCCCAAAATTGTAATTACTACATCTTTACATTTCGAAAAAAATGTGACCCAACCCGCTGTTTGAATCGTTTTCCTATGCGGGCTCTGGAGTCCCGACACCGCGCCTTCGGCATGGGCGTCGGCCGTCGGAGCTCCATGGTGCTGGCCGCCTGGTCTGGAGTAGGGAGGCCAATGCCCGGGCGTAAGGCTTCTACACCTACGATTTGTGCGCTCGTCGCCCACTTCAAAAAATTAGCAAAGGGAAAAAAATGATGTAAAAATAAAAATTGAAGAAAATAAGAAAAGAAAATACAATTATACATTTCACAACATACCTATAGTCACGGATCTGTAACAGTCTTTCACCATTTGTTGACAATCTTGCAGATTTTGACGTTTTTTAATCCAATAATTGTGGTTGCAGACGACCTTGACGCACTCGCACCACCGACTAAGAAAATCCTAGAGGGCGTAGAGGTTTGCTCACTAAAAACCTTCTCATTGGCAGAAGGTAGACCCTAAAAATAAGGGATCCGTTTTGAGTAAAGAACTTTTGATAGAGATCAACATTTCAGATGTTCACAATTGCCACTTCTAACAACTAGAAAATATAAAGAAAAAAGATTATATCTTTTTAAATACAGATTTTTACAAACTGAACATTCGAAAGTAGATAGAGTACGATGTTTCTGTCAATCTTGCGTTGATTTGAGCCCTATGGCTACATCCATCTCAAAATGAGAAGGAAAACAGTGAACAGTGACGTCATTGTTCGCGCCAAAAATAAAGGGTATTGCGACATAATCTGAGCTCCGGTCAGATCGTGCGCAAAGCGTAGTCTTATTTATAGACCCTAGTACCTTATTCTCACAGCACTAGATACGAGTGTCGTGCAGTAATGTATGAGAAGTGTTAAAAAAGATATTTCAGTAAAAAAAAAGTCTACCTGAGCAGTCTATACTCCGATTGAGAATTGAAATGAAAGCCATGATTTGAAGGTGTGTGTTGTATGATACATGGTTAGTGAGTGTGTATGTTACGTATAGCGAAAGGGAGAGAGAGAGAGAGTGAGAGAAATATTAGTACACGTACGTTGCATGCATGGATGTGCGCTATGATTGTGTTCGCTGCAAGATGGATTTTAATTGGACCTCGTAACTTCTCGATCGTTGATAATAAGGAATACTCATGAGGAAATCAAATTATTGGAATACACATCTAAGGTAAATATCAATAAATTATATATATTTCTTTCCTGTCAATTTATTCTTCATTTTTGAACCATCGTCTTCGGCTCGTAGTAGTAGAAGATGTAATCGTTCGCACATTGATGGCTGGACTTCAGGCTGCATCAGGGCTTGCCTGTGTCGGTGGAGGGATCAACGAAGAAGAAGGTGTGTACGTGTGCGACCGATTCAAGGCTAGCCGCTGTTGAGTGATTGCACTTTCGCGCGAAGTTTTAAACTTCATCATGAACTTTGTCCCTCGGGCCTGTCTAATTATGAACGTAACTTTGCGACATGAAATATGATTGTTTCAAGGCTCTTACGAACGGAAAGGCGTAGAACTAGAAGGAAGCTGGATAAAAAGAGCTGGATATCTCCTATTTGATGGAACTTCTGGAGTCGGCAGATGGGTGGATTTTCTTAGTGAAAGTAAATGCTTTCTTTTAATCTTAGTTTTAGTATAAACAAATTAGTAATTAAAAAGTTAGATTTGGGCATTGGCCTACCTAGCTGGAGCTGCTTGTCAATGTCAGACAATCACATCTACAGGCACACAAACACAGTACAAATAGATCTAGGCTAAGTGGTATCAGTATCGCCCCTTTGATGTCAAAACGTCTTTTTACTCCATCAATATCTATATACATATAGTTTATATGTTACTTACTCTTTAGCCTTAATAACTCGATTTCCTCGCTAAATTTGGCTGTGTAAGATAGAAACACTCAACCTGTGCTGTGCCGTAGTGTACAAGTACATAGTAAGGGCAGCTAGCTTTTGCAGCGATGTATGTACTGTATGGTATTGTACGACACGTGCAGCTAGCTGGGCTTTGTTTTTGTATGCTGCCCTCTAAGGCGCTGGGGCCAGTTAGTGAGCTACTTGTCCGCTACGTTTTCACGAAGCCCTCTTTGCCAAGATCAACGACAACATCCTGACTCCTAGAATTAGTTATGATGCTTCCGACATCGACACTGCATAATATCTCTGTCATAACTTTTTAGTCGATTGGCAGCGCCATCACATGTCATTTATTGGGTAGACTATATGGCTGGCAAAAAATGACAAGAAATCCTCCAGCTATGATCTTTCTCACATTCACTTACACAGGGAGTTTTTTTTTTTTTTGTACAAATCTTTTGATAATATGCCACGTTTATACTTTTTCCTCTTAAAATAAACTGATTAGATATAGGGCTATATGCGTTTACTTATAGGCGTTTACTCAGCCAGCAGCTGATTAAGCGGGGGGGGGGGGCAGAGGGGGCACATGCCTCCCCGGCCAAAAAATATAAATAAAATAAAATTAGTGCTCACTACCCCCCCCCCCCCCCCCCCCTCACTCCCCCCCCCCCCCCCCCCCCCCCGCTTATCCAGCGGCTGGCTGAGTCGTTGCGCTTTTTGGGGACCCCCAAAAAATATATATGTCCTCTTATCCCCCCCCCCCCCCCCCCTCCCCCGCTTATTCAGCGGCCGGCTGAGCCGTTGAAAAATTTTCGGCCCGATTTAAAAATGTTAAAACCCACCCTTGAAAGAATCCTGCGTACGCTACTGATTTCACCCCATGCCATTTTTATGCCCTCCCGGTAAGAAATTCCTGGATCCGCCACTGTTAATTAATGTAATTTATACAAAGTGGTGAAATGTCCTAACAATTGGCAATTTATATTTTATAGTATTTTGCAAAATGAATTGTATATTATAAACTAAATGAAGTATTCTGTAAATTCAGAAAAAAATTGTATAAAAACATAGATGTGCACGCACCCAAAATACTGGTGTCAACTGGTTCAGAAATAGCCCATCAGTGGAGGACCCAGGGAGGAGGGAGGGGGGTGCCCCCCCCTTTGGAAAAAAAGTGTGTATTTTTACATTTTTTAACGTTAATATTACCCTTTTTTGGAGATGGCCCCCCACCCCCTTGGCGCTCAAGGGGGTGGGGGTGCAATTTTTCAAACTTTCGGGGGACAAACAACAAATTAGTGCTCACTACCCCCCCCCCCCCCCCCCGACATTTGGAAATTATTTTTGATGCTCTTTCGGAAAATGAAGAAAAAAATTGAGAAATTTTAAAAGTAGATGTTTATGACTTCACAGCTTCGGTACTCTATTAAGGCCACTGATTTCTTCGTTCTCTAGAATCACTCATGCGTGACCGTCCAGCCGTCCAGGCACCATTTTCTCCGTGTCGGGCCGCTTTTAAGGCCTTTCGTTCGCCCTACCTATCTCCTCTATCACAGAGGCTACAGACTTCTTACAAATTGTTTTGGATAGTCCGAAATAAGCTCTTTCGTTTGACATGTAGGAACAAGGGCGTCATTGCACGCATATTGTTGTGACATGATTGCACTTCTAGTTTCAATTTTATTTTCTTCTTTGTTTCCTTCTCTATCTCTCTACCCCCTCTCTCCCCCTCTCTCTATTCTTTTCATCTCTTCTTGTCTTTTACCTTCTTTTCCCTTCCTTTCATCTTTTTGACCTCCGTTAACAAGGTTTAGTTTATGATTTTTTAACATTTTACAGCATAGACATTGGCACATGACTTGTCTTAATCCGAGGTGTATAACATTTATCCGTTTTTGTTCAAATGAAGAGATTTGATTTGGGAACATCCTACACCATATAAATTTATCACAGTGCTAAACCGTTTGTAAAATATAGATAAAAACAGTAATGTGTGTACTAAACGAAATCAAGGTTTTATCACAATGGATATCTTAGGAAGCTCGTGTTTATTACAAAATGTTAAGCTATGGTCACAAATCAGAGCAGCGACCGACCGATCAGTAGCCTGCTCGGTCGCTGCTGGAATTAGGCATCGCCCAGCGATTAGGTCGGTGCCCGGGCGGCGACCGCTCAGGCACCGAGCGTATTTTGGGTGGCGGAGTGAAAAGTGAACAGGCGCCGCCGCTCCGTGGCCGGGCAGCCGCCGGGCAGAACTATTGGTTAAAAACTCGCCGCTCTGCCGCCGAGCAGGCTGCTTTTGGGTAATGTGATCATAGCATTACCAAAAAATTGAGAAAAAATACCGGAAAATCATGTCATTTCAGCAACATTTGTAAATCACTGGTATCGAATAAAAATTAACCCCCCCCCCCCCATCAGTACGCCAGCGTTCATGGGCTCATGAGCTTCTCACCCCTATAATAAAAAACAGACACGCTTTCACATTCTCTCACAATATATCCACGATATGCGCGTATCGCTATTATAAAAACCTCCAGGTAGCATGCGCAATGTTTAGGAAATTTTATTCCTGTTAACTTTCCTTTTATGTGAATAGAACTTTTTACGTCATTTATTTCAGGTTTTTATTATTGTTATGTTCTTTTGGGTTAAAAATACAAACCATCTATATACTCCTTTACTGCTTTTTTTTTTGAGGGGGGGGGGGGCAAATATGCGTTTTGCTCCCCCCCCCTCCCACTTTTTTTGGTTAGGGGGAGGGGGCAACCGCCCCCCCCCCCCCCCCACCCCTGCCCCCCTTCACTTCCGGCGCCTATGCATGTCGGTTCTCAACGATGCCACAACGACTAATGGAAAATAATCTTGAATTGAGCACTGACCAAAAGCGTTGAGTTTATGAGACACTGTACAGAGACTGAAGACAACGGCGCTATTCAAGGAAGCCATCGATCATCATTATGGAAAATGTTTTTATAAGGATTTAAAAAGAACACAATCAAAAATTAATTTGTAAATATTTGAATCATCACATGTAAATCTGTTGACTATACCTTAGCACGCCGCCAAACTGATTGAAAAACATTGTTTAAGGTAGTTTGGGGGAAGATCTTTAATGCTGTAGTCGGTCTGCAATCAGTCTTGTTGATGTAACCAGGGTAAAAAGGTTAATATAAGTATTTTATGATGATACAGAGGATAAATACAGTAATTTGAGACCCGATTCAAATCCGATCAATAAAAGGCTATTCCAGGTAAAATAGTTTTTGTTCGGTTAAGTGTCTGTCTTGTGTTGGTCTCTTTGTGACCGCGGTATACATCCCCGGTTTTATCAAACCGACTTCCCACCGATTCCAAGCCGACCGATTTTTCTAGGCCATCCGGAGTAACGTAACGAGTAATGTTTTCTTTGGTCTGTTATCGGTGTGACATTGTCTGGTGTTATTCTCATTGGTGGGACTGGGGTACTAGGAGACTTAAGGCCTGTATATGCTCTAGGACATAATTTTATGTAATATGAGTTTGGCTGAACAGTCTGAGCGGGAATGTATTGTAATATTTGCTCTTCAAAAAAGTTATAAGTGACGATGTGGCATATGGCTCTCTGTCATTCTCTCTCTCTCCTCTCTCTTCTTCTCTCTCTAATGCTCTCTCTCTCTCTCTCTTTCTCTCTCTGGTTTTCCTTCTGTCTCTCTCTCTCTCTCTCCCTCTCTCTAATTCTCTCTCTCTCTCTCTCTCTCTCTCTCGGGTTTTCCTTCTGCCTCTGTCTCTCTTTTCCTCTCCCTCTCTCCCTGTCTTCCTCACTCTCTCTCTCTCGCCAAACATTCTCCGTGTCTCTCTTTCTGACTCTCATGTTCCTTCTCCCTCTCCCACTCTTTCTCTCTGGTGTAACCCTAAAGACCATTAGTTTTTGCATGAAAAGTGAAAATGATTTCCTGACACAAAACTAGAAATGTGTATTCTGTGCAAACAAATAACCTCCGTATAATCTAACCCAGGCGCGTACGCAAGGGGGGGGGGGGGGGGTGAACCCCCCTTTGGTATTATTATGTGTGTATTTTTCAGGAAAAAAACCCTAAACCCCCCCCTTTGTTTTGGGGTGTTTTTTTTTTAATTAAAAAAAAAAAAAAATCATGCCCATGGCTGACCTAAAAAAGGTGACCTTACCCCCCCCCCCCCAACGAAGAAAAATGTAATTTTTTTAAATTTAGAGACAAAAAAAAATAGTGTCCTCTTACTATTTAGATGATTGGGCCGGCCTCTATTTCGCTTAAAACACCCCCCGCCCCCAAGCAAAAAAAAAATGGGAACATTTCTAGTCACAATTATTTGTTTTCCTTTTTTTTTGGCCGGGGTGGGGGGGGGGGGCAGGCCCGGTTGACCTGCAACCTTTTGTAAATCACTTGAGGCATCGAATTAGAAATAAACCACGTTTGAATTTTATTAGGGGGGGGGGGGCTCATTTCTTCTCACCCATATAATCAAAACACACACGCTTTCCTATCCTTTCACAATATTTTCACAATATACGCGTACCACTGTTACCAAATCCACCGTTGATGAATATAGGGGCATGCGGAATGTTTAGGAAATGTAATAACTTTTTCCTTTTCTTTAAATGGAATATTATTTCTATTTTGATTCAATTCATGTTTCATAATTTTTTTTCTTTTTGGTTGAAAAATAGAAATCATTTTGTACTCCTTCACTGATGATTTTTTTTTAGGAGGGGGGTGGACTTTTTTCCTGAGTGGGGGGGGGGGGGGCTAAAAATATGTTATGCTCCCCAATGTTTTCGGTTGGAGAGAGGGGGGGGGGGTCGACTGTAGACTTTACCTTTTACCATAACAGTGCCTGTAGAATAGAAGATAAATGAACAGTACAAAGCACATAATTATATTACTTGTGTAAACACGCTTTATTTATCACCGCAATTATGTAATCGAAATTGATATCAATTGACACCGTCATTATTTACTGGAATAATAAGGGTATACAGAGAGGGTTGTATTTAAGTTGCATACTTAGTATAATCAATAACATTAATTCATAATTTGGCAATTTATCTTTGAAATACAGCCCACCTCTTAAAGATATAGACCGGTAGTGGACAAATTGCTGTTCAAGGGTTTTGGGTGTAAAATATCCATTTAATATTGACTTGACAGAGGTTTAGATGGGAATACTTCAACCTAAATTCGCAAAAAAAGCAGAAATATGTGCCCAAATGTTCAATGTTGAAGTGCATTTGCGATATTTATCCAGTCCGGATCGATATGATAAGTTACCAAATATATCAATTAGTAAGCAGTTTCCCGGCAAAATTTGTTTAATTATGTCATACATTGTACTACCCTTATATAACTTTTATTACTGTAATATGCTTTGTATTGTATTATTCTATTATTACAAATTATGTCCTGAAGTATGTTAAACTCTAACTTATGTGTGTTTTACATTCTTTCTTCAATTACTTGATGGTCGTATGCCAACAATTATTTAATCTTCACACATTTGAGCTAGGAGTGTCATTTTTGACAGACATGGCGCATTATAAATGTTCATTTCTATTTATCAATTATTATTATTAGTCTAAACACATCTTTCACATGATGGGCAATAAGAGCTTCCATTTCATTTTGTAAGAGGGAGGGGGGGGGGTAGGGAGGTTGCCGGCTGTCACAGTAACGCTGATCTTCCGTTGTCATTGATGAAATGAGAGTGACGTTGATTGTACGATGACGATGTGTTGTTTCACAAGTTCCACTAGACGTTAGAAGTTGCCCTTGTAATAAAAATGTAAAAATAACACACATGAAAACGACGTAGCTAATCAGCAGAATATTAACTGTTCCATGAAACGTGGGGTCTGCGCTTGGAATATAAATACAATATAGCAATAATAATGATACAGCGTGCATGAAAGAGGGAAAGACAATCCTAGGAGAGCTCCCAACTGGTCAGCTAAAGGTTCTTAATTAGGCTCAGCCTCAGGAGGGCGATAATATTCATGACATGATGTTGAGGGCCACCGATCATTACACATTATCATAATAAATTATTATGAAAACAATTGTATCTTTATTTTTTTCTCGTTAGACGTCATCATTCTTATTTTTATTATATCGTTTTTTGTTTTGTGTGGTAGCTTTACAAGCCTACTGATATGGGTATGGTGCGGAAGATAGTCCATGCCTTTTCTTTTCTCGTCCTTTCCTCTTCTCATTTTCTCACCTTTCTGGCATTTTCTGGATTTGTCTACATTCTGACTACTCAGTGAGATGAGTGGGGCACGTCCACCCCTACCCCGTAGCTTAATAAATGGTAACACATAATAATGTTGAGCTAACAGTAATTAAAAATGCGAGGAATACGTTATATTAAGTAATTAATGGTAAATCTTACCTTTTTCGAGTGGGGCAATTAGGATTACCCGTTGCAGTCTGGCAACTCTCTTCCTCGAGGGCAGCGCTTACACTATCTCCTGATTCAACTAAATATAATAACATGATGATATAAAGGTAATCATCAATACCCTGTTGGTCGAATGTAAATCGTCGAATAACGTGACATGTATCTTTCAGCAAAATTCTACTAGATTTATTATTTCTTAAATAATAAACAACTGTATTCTTTAATGTGTTACTCAATTGGCATCTTCGGCTGGTTCGGTAGTTTTATAAATGTTGTTTAAACGTTGCGCTATAGACTACAAGGTTCAGGATAAACATTCAAAGATTAGAACATACATACATGTAATTCAGTACACAATTCTAACATGAATAGTATTCAATTGTAACTGGGTTTCAATTTATAAAAAAAAATGAAAAATAATTCTTGGTGATACAGGTTTTGAAACCTTTTTAGAATTTGAGTGGTGAATCTTCAACTTTTCTATACGAAAATGGGTCGCTATTATTGCAGTCTATCACTACGATTTGAAGCAGATGGGGCTCTTTCTTGAATTGCTTATTGTAAATATACATTGATATTTGAATCAATTAGGAAGAATTAAAAAGAAAATATATATCATGCAGTTTCTCTGGAATGTTATAAGCAAATCGCCTGTGCGGTGGCTTAAAATATAATATTAATACAATAGTTGCTTCTAATTAGAGGCTAATGACTAATGAATTTTGTCGTCATCAGGATAATAATGGGTAGGTGAAGTATAAAAGTGTTTTATATTTTGTAACCCAGTGGGGTCCCGGTATTTAACAGTAAGTTTGTAAACACAACCCGTGTCAGCTATAACGTGTAACACTTGCAGGGTGGTCTACACCATAGCGTTATGAGCAGTGGCGTAATGAGCAAAAACGTTTGGGAGGGGGGGGGGGGAGGGTGCTGACAACAAAAAATCCGCAACACCCCACTCTTACATGCAGGCCCCGCTGGACGTTTTTCAAAGTGGGGTCTAGGGGCAAAGCCCCGGTGGGGGTTAAAGGGTAGAGCCTCCGAAGTTCAAGGGGTATGGGCATCACTGGCGGATCCAGGAATTTCTTACCTGGGGGGGGGGGGGGGCACAACATGGCATGGGGTGAAATGATGACGCGACAGAGCGAGGCTTCAGCGGCGAGGGAGCGGAGCCCCCCCCCCCCCACTCAGTGTTATTTAGGGTACGCTTATGCGTGTTTCCTGCGACCCCCTCCCCCTTTCAGCAAAAGTCCGGTGTGTAAATTCAATACGGGTCGACCTTTTTTCTTTTGTTATACGAGCCTTTTTCACCACCCCCTCCCCTTTCCGCAAAAGTCCGGTGTCTAAAGTCAATACGGGTAGACCTTTTTCTTTTGTTACGTGCCGGTGAGTTTTGGAACACGCATGGTATCCCTCCGTTCACGGAATAGGGGGGGGGGGGGAGCGGAGCGACTAAGCGGCGGTGGGTCTGGGAGGGGGTTCTCACCTCCTCCCAGAGGAGGAAGCATTTGCAATTTTAGAACCACATTAGACGCATTTTCAGACACTTCCTGGAGTAATATGACGTAAAATTGCTTTCTCCTACCCCCTCCAAGAGTAGGGATCTTTTGCAATTTGAGAACCACATTTGGCGCATTATTATCCACCGGCACTTCCCGGAAAAAAAAAACATGAGGCCTTCTGATTGGTCAGAAGTTAGAGAAAAGTGATATGTCAGGAGACGTTGTCATGGATGTCGATCCTTACGTAATACCTATTGTTCAGGGGGGGGGGGGGGGAGGGAATGAATGAATAGATCATCCCCCCTGAACAATAGGTATCAATTACAGATCGACACCCATGGACGTCGTGTATGCTTCGTTGCTGCATGATGCACAAAGACGGTGGACCGGTACTTCATCAGTAGTACTTGCAAAAACTATCTTGAGTGTATAAACTGTGTTGTTATCAGGGGCGTCACCAGACTTTTTAAGTGGGGGAGGGGGGGGGATGTAGAAGCCATCGATTACCAACAAAACTAGCCACCAATTAATTACCGACAAATATATAAATGCCAATGTCAAAATGTCTACAAATTTAACCCTATAAACCCGGGGCCAGGAACTAAGTTATTTTTCAGTTTTCCCCCTTCCGCGCGAAGCGCAGAATCTTTGACACTTCATTAAATTATTAGTAGGTATAGCACACCAAAAATAATTACAACAAACACATGTTATTTGATGGTTGCAAATGATCAAGCTTCATGAAAGCTTTAAAAAAAATTCGGTCAATGCGTTGTGATGTTATACCATTTTTTTGATATCGCAAAATTACCGAAAAACCTGCCAGAAATGGTCAAATTTTCAAAAATGGCATAATTCGACAAAGTTGACAACTTAATTCATCACTTTCTTGGACACAAATAATAAATTAAATTATCAGACACTAAAATATAATCTTTGTGGTAAACAATACACTTATGCTGAAAATGGGGGGGGGGGGTGCTGGGAACACGCATATGCGTACCCTAAATAACACTGCAGTGGGGGGGGGGGGGCACAGCCCGAGTGGTGGGTAGTGCTTGTCGCAGTAGCTTCTGGAAAGGAATTTTCTACTAGTGTTACTGTCAGTGGCCCATTAGTGACTATAAAAAACATATGCTCTTCCTGGTTATTTGGGAAGGTATCAGTTTGCAACAAAAATGGAGAAACGCGCATTTTGTTGAAAATCATGTGATATCACGAATATTTATAGGTCACTTGTATGGAATTTTGAAAATAAGTCATGGTTGAATTGCATTTGGGGGGAGTACGCCAGTGGTTATGAGAAAGATAGTTATAACAAGCGCACACTTCCGCGATCAAAGGAGCTCCAAATAGTTCCACACACATACAGTCTTTATGGGAAGGAACTATTTGGAGCTTCATGAATTGGTCGCGTGCGTGTGCGTGTGTCACAACTCTCTCTCTCTCTTCCTCTCTCTCTCTCTCTCTCTCTCTGTCTCTATCTCTCAATATGCTATGGTCTAAACTTACCAAGATGTCTAGGCATACTAGATTCATAATATACATCGCTTTAGAAAGAGCTATTGATATCAGGCAGGCCATACATAAATCAGTACTGTTGTAGAGGCAGGTTTCGAAAAATAGCTACTCACGTCATTTAGCTAAGACAGCTAATGTGATTTCTTATGTTTTGTACCCAGTACCAGGTTTAGAGTACCATCGTTTTATTTCTTTTTTTTAATAAAAAAAATAAATCATGCCTCTACAACTAATTAAATAATGCATACCAGAATAGGTCCATGATATCAAGCTCAGGTCAGGTTGCAATCGCATCATATCAATCAACTCGGCCCTGCTCCTTGTACCCATTTGCAAGCTTATTTAGACCTTTATTACTGAAACAAATCAAAACACTTTAAATGGCTCAATAAAGTATGTACTTAAAAATTATCGTCCCGCTTACCAGAGTCAGATGCTGAATCAGCATGAACACACACCACCTTCATCACCACCAGTGCTAAGATGAGCAACTTCATGACTGCTTTTAGAAACGGCTTCTATATGCAAGAATCGACAAAAACAGTGTTGGAGATTTGTGTTTCACTGATGAAAACTTCAAAAATTTAACTTTCTATAAAAAAAATCATAGGATAGAACTCAAATTTTACTAATTTGTTTGTGTCGCTTTTACTAAAATCAACTAAATATCATGTTAGACTTCCCCTTTCAAACAGCTGCGTAAAATTGTACACATAGGAGGTAAAAACTATAAAGGACCACAGATGTATGTTGGGTAAGAAATAAAACCAACACTAAATGTTTAACCAATTTTCGTTACAATTTAACTAATTACAAACATGCAATAATAATGGCTCATGCCCAAACTAGAGTTTGAAAACAGTTGGTATTTCGAAAGCAATACTAAGCGTTTAATACGCGCTAAAAGCCCGTTACACAAGGGGTGAACAAATGTCTGAAGAAATGCAGACCTACGCTAAACAACTGAATATACATTAATTGTTCCCAAATCCAGACTCTCAACTACCGAAAAACGCTTATAGAGGCTGCTTCGAAAGATAATTAACTTGTCGTCATGTCTTGCCACTTTCAACAGATCATTTAAAATAATTGTTCCCTCAGGCCTCAGTAATAAAGTATGATTCACCTATCCAATAGCTTTATGTTTCTCTTCACATTATGTTAATTAGTAAGCGATAAGGTACTTTTTTGGTGTTAACGCTCCTAAACAATCGATATCATTTTCAATACAATTACAAACTGACGGAATCAGAAAGACGTCTCATGTGCAACAAGCATAACGTAAGGGATGTTGGGCCTACCTGATTTCGATGCGGTCTTCGAGTAGAGTTCTGTAGGATGATGATCTACTTTCTCGTAGCTTGATGTGGCAAAGTGTCTCTACCCAGATTTCTGTTGCATTACTGTCTAGATAGCTGCTAGTTTTATAGGATATCGAAGCCTGCCAGGACCATCTGCTCGTAACCGACAAGTCACCACATTCATGCAAAATTGAACGAATCAATCAACGGCAAAGAATTGTTTTATCCTTGCTCTTTAATTATTTCACATTTTAATGTACCTGCATTTGTAAACGCCGTTCACCGCATCCGTCGCTCCAACCATAGCCCATAATTTATACCAATACACCATGTTGATCGAATATGGAAAGATTTGAATGAAAGAAAATTACCATGCACTGACAGGCTTCAGTTGAAATCATAAATTATCTGTGGCTGGCTTAGCACTTGTTCCTACACCAGTAACTGAAGATCCATGATTTTACATGTGCCTCGAAAAAAGTGCAAATATAGTACATTTGATTGACATCCTTCATCAACAAATGAAAAAAACTAATCATGTAAGCTATAAGAAATACATCAGAAATCAATTAATAATTCACAACTTTGTCCAAAATACACACAAAAACGCAACCACACATGTACAAGCCTACACACACACACACGCACGCACACACATGCACACGCATACACATACACTGGGCTTGCAGAATGCGTTGTTCATTTCACAGTGGCTGGTGGATTTATATATTTATTTATTTATTTATTATTTATATATATATATGTATATATTTTTTTTTTTTTGGGGGGGGGGGGGGAGGGGGCTGATTATACAGTACAATTGATTGACATCCTTTATCAACAAATGAAAAACACTGAGCATGTAAGCTATGAAGCTGTAGATATCAAGTATCAATTCACACCTTTCTACAAAATACACACAAACACACATACGCACATATTGTGCTTGCGAAGAGAGTCGCCCATTCCATAGTGGCTGGGCTTTTTTTAATGGAGGGGGGGGGGGTTGTTTTTGATGTTCATTTTGAAAGTTATTTTCCTTTAATTCTGAAGAAACAAAGTCGAAAAAATTAATTGCACATTAATTTACAAAATAGTGCAAAAATTACATGACATATGGCTGAAAACAATTTTACTTATAACCTCATGAAGACATTTATATAACAGTAAACACTTTTATATACCTCTCTTCAGTATGTTGAATACATCTAGTCATCTGATTGGTTGAAAATTGAGTCGTGATTTTAGCCATGCCCGCTTACCGGTCAATAGTTTTTTTAAAAGATACCTGCATGCCCGCCTACCGTTGACCCGGGTACCGGGCCGCATTAATGATCCCCATTGTTTTACGTGTAAAAGTTTCTTTGTGCGAGCGCGGATACCATACAGTGCCCTTGGTCTGCGATTCCAGAATGATCGTAATATTCAGGCAACTTTCCAGCCAAGATTTGGATACAGTAAAGGATAAGGTATATAATTATTTGTACATCTGTTTGTGAATTCGGTGTATAAAAGATATAGTGACTGCTTCAATTTTTCACGCATAGCTGTTTTTATACTGGCTTTCAGGCGCATCGCCCGCCCCGGCGCGCCTCGGGTCGATAGCAGGATTTACCACCCCCTGAGCATAGACTATTACGTCTATGCCCTGAGCCTATATAAACAGCGATGCCTCTCATAGCAGTCAATATGACTATAATGTTTGATAAATGTAATAATAATAATAATAATAATAATAATAATAATCGTTTAAATTCCACTCCAAATGTTATTAAACCGAAAATGGAAATTCTTTTTGCCCAATTGATCGTGAGCCCGGCAGCCACTGTGCAGCTCCAGATCGACGTTGCTCTATCCCTTATTGTTGAGCGCCAAACGAGGTAGCGGCAGCTCCCGTCTTTTGGTATGACGCGGCCGGGGTTCGAACCCACGACCTCCCGGTTGTGAGGCGGACGCTCTACTGACTGAGCCAACACACCGGTAAAAAGCACAGTAAATCCTACTTTCACCATGATTTCTTATTACAATTTATTACATTGTCTAGAGTAGACAAAGCTTACTTCTTTTATTGTTAACAAAAACAGATCATACAATCATGTAGTCGTTAAAAGTAGGCCTACTTTGTCCCATTTGCAGGCCAAAAAATAAAAAGGTTAAATTCCAATGGCATTTGAAAGATATTACCAAATTAGAACTTCCATCAAAATGAAAGGGCTTTAAAATGTCTTTTTGTTGGAAAATAACGACTGCTAGATGTCGAATCTAATTTAAGGTTTGCAGTCGTTTTATTAAGTATTCTGATTTTCAGACCCTTGTACCGAATTGTTGTACGTTTTTTGCTGCGCAAAGATTCATTCAGTTTAATTTCGGCCATTACAAGAAGTGGCTTATTGGTTTAGACAAATGCTCATGTACACTCTAAAAACTAAATGTTAAACGGGCCGAGGAGTGACCACTCTTTCAAAATTGTAGATTACCACTTTGAACATGCTGGATCCAACACTATAAAGGTTAAATCTAGCATGTTAATAGAAACAATCTACCATTTTGAAAAAAGTGTCACTTCTCGGCCCTTTTAAATGGGGATTTAACATTTAAGTTTTTAGAGAGTACCCTTCACAGCTCATTTTATGTATGTTATTACCAAAGAAATGAAGAAGTGAGCCAGTCACTCAATTATGTCTGACAGTGAGGTCTAGAAAGTTTATTTAACAACTATCTTGTCTGTGTCTACTAACTTCAGCTAGATTTCTTATAATTTGATAGATTGAGAAGATATCGAAGCCTGCCGTTCGTAATCAACAAGTCACCACATTCATGTAAAATTGAACTAATCAATCAATGTTGTTATTGATGTGGCAAAGTGTCTCTACCCAGATTTCTGTTGCATTACTGTCTAGATAGCTTCTAGTTTTATAGGATATCGAAGCCTGCCAGGACCATCTGCTCGTAACCGACAAGTCACCACATTCATGTAAAATTGAACGAATCAATCAACGGCAAAGAATTGTTTTATCATTGCTCTTTAATTATTTCACATTTTAATGTACCTGCATTCGTATCTATCTGGAATTAACGCTGTTCACCGCATCCGTCGCTCCAACCATCGCCCATATGCCAATACACCATGTTGATCAAATATGGAAAAATTCCAAAATTAAATTTAAAAAAAAAAAGAAAACAAAATTACCCTGCAATGACAGTATTCAGTTGAAAATATAAATTCTCTGTGACTGGCTTAGCACTTGTTTCTGAGGGACCTGTCACTGGGGATCCATAATTGTACATGTGCCATGAAAAAAGTGCAATATAAACTTGATTCATAATCCTTTATCAAGAAATGAAAAAAACTAAGCATGTAAGCTATAAAGAAATACATCATAAATCAATTTTTAATTCAAATCTTTGTCCAAAATACACACACAAACACACAGGCACAAACCCACACAATAAATAAAACAAAAAAAACAACACACACACACACACACACATATATACAAATGTCCATTAATGTTTTTTAATTACTGAAAATTACCCCAGAAATTCTGCTTTTGACGAAAGCTGTTATTTTTATATTTTTTGCTGCATAATTTTCATCATCTTAATCCATTAAGAAATCAAACTTTTGTTTTTAAATGTTGTACAAGGATAACCGAATTTAACCGATCTGTGCCACCTTCATTCAGTTAAATACAACATGAAGCATACAACATCAAATTGGTCACGTGGTCGAAATGACTGAATAATTGTTATCAAGATGAACCGAAAATAATGACAAAGCAGACGACTCTTTATTCCTTCCATGAGTGTTCAGCTTGAGAACGTCAAATGTTAGTTATCATGTTTTCAAATCTACAAATAAAATGGGAATTATTGAAACATCCCCTAGAACACCAGACAGTCTAATAAAACGCTTTTATTAGGGACTTTTAGATCGAGTGGACGAGAACGGCGTGAACGTCCACTGATCTTGCGTGTCCATGGCAAACCGTTTTGACATTAATTTTATTCCTATTTATTGATATCAAGAATTCAATTTTTGATATCAAGAAATGATTTTCTGTTGTAAAGCAATGTTAATTCTTGATATCAAGAAATGATTTTCTGTTGTAAAGCAATTGTGATTTTTCACCCTATAGCAGATACTGCCTTTAAAATCAGGGATTGCATACTTCATAGCGGCGTACATTACAGTTAGAGGCGCCGTATTTGTGAAAATCGTGATCGCCCCTTTTCGCCCCTTTTCACTTTTGATAAGCACCTCCTTCACCTTTGATAATTTCCCTGTACAAATCTGAGAGGTGCCTCTTTTAATTTGACAAGTGCCCCTTCCTCCTTTAAATAACTACCGCTTTTTAACTCGGATAAGCGCACCTTATATTTTCACATGTGCCCCCTTCCTTTCTATTAAGTGCCCCTTTTCTTTATGATAAGTGACCCCATTTAAAAAAGAGCCCCTTCCCCCTTCTTATGAATGCCCCTTTTCACCTAGTATGCAAATAGTCCCTTTTTATTCCCATAAGTGCCCCTTTTCTTCTCTGGTAAATGCCCCTATTCAAATCTGATTGGTGCCTCTTTTCTTTAAACAAATGCACATTTCCCTTTATTATTAGTGCCCCTTTTTCATTGTCTTTTTCATCCCTGGTGAGTGCCCCTTTTTAAGGTGTAAGAAGTGCCCCATTTTCACCTCTGATAATTACCCGTTGTACTTTGACACGTGCTCCTTTTCGTTTCTAATAAGTGTCATCCCTTTCGATAAGTGTCCCCTGTTCCTCTCATCTTTAAACGTGGCAGGGACGGATCTAAGGGGCAGTGTTTTCGCGGTTTAACCCCCCTCCCTTTGACGGTAAAGTGAGGAAAAAAGGAAAACAAGGGGGAAACTATTTAAACAGCGCGATTTCTGGGAAATCCTGGGTCAACCCCCCCCCCCTGGCAAAAAGCTAGATCCGCCCCTGCGTGTGAGACATATTCTGTACTGTTGATCTCGCCATTGCCATCCTTCACCTTATCTTTGTGGTGCTCTCTCCTTTGTTAGTGATGATTGAACCCAAGTACTCAAACCGATTTACTACTTCAATCTTATTTTCA